TATGCATTAAAATAGTTATTATTTAAGGTATGTTTTTGGCCGTAGATTGCAACACATTATCTGTGAAGAGATTAAATCATAAATAAAAATTAAAAATTAATTCATTTTTCTCTTAATTGTCGTTGTTGTTTTTTTCATAATTAACTGCCCTAATACCAAACAAATAGACAAAAATACTAAAATGAACTAGCGCTCAAAACAGATTCCGTTGCGAACCAAACAAGTTTATTCATGCATGATTTTTAAATAAAGCTTCTCTTTTGCGTTATGTAGAAGTAATTAAATTAAAAAGTAGGAATACAAATAGTGGAGCAGAGGTAAACCAAAACAAAAAACAGGTAAGGGGAAGAGCGCAAAAGATTAGTTAATAATTATTATTGATAAACAACCACCAGATAAATAATATTGTAAGGAGAGCGTATGATATGTTTTTTTTATTTTTTATTTTTTTTTTGTTTGTTTTTTTGTTTTTTTTTTTTTTTTTTTTGGGGGGTTTTGGTTTTGTCAAAATCTACAGCCAAAGTGTTAATATATTGTTTCATAGTAAAAAAAAAAGAAAATAAAATCTATGTACGTGTACTAATGAACTAAATTAATTGCAAAGAAATAATTATTGTTATTCAATGAAGTATCATGTCGTTACATCGCATCGAGTTTTTTTTTATATTTTTTATTATTTAAATTTTTTGTTTGTATGTTGCAAACTACAAAAAAAAAAAATTTAATTTATCGAAAACAAAAAAAATTTCGGTGAGTGCTTTTTCGGTTTTTTATTGCGGTGACTGTACTTTGGCGAAAGCTATTTGATAGGCTGAATAGGGTTGCCATATGTTGCAAAGAGTAACTAACTTAAGAGAGCCTCTGTTTACTGTTATATTGTTATCGTTATCGTTATATGTATATAGGTATTCCATATGAGTGTAGGCTGCGCCAATTGAATGATTCGACAAGTATATTTCAGTATTTGGTAGGTATTCTGTTGTCTATGTAATTATTGTTGACTGATTTTGAGTCAAGTGAGTTGCATTCTAATTTAATTTTGTATTGATTTGTTTGGTTTTGTTTTTTTGTTTTTTGTTGTTGTTGTGTAAATGGAAAATCAAAATTTGTATTTCTTTTTAACATTTACTTTATAGAGAATATTTGTTTAAGCTTTTTTCGTTTAAATAAAAATAGTTTTGTCTATATGTAATAACTATTTAAAATAAACCTTCTATAGCACCATTTGTTTTTATTCGCATTATAATATATTAATTGTTTATTTTTTTATCAATTTTAGTTTAGTTTAGTTTGGTTTTTATATAATATTATTTTCATTAAAAAAAGAACAAACTTTTGTTAGATTAAAGACTTTGCATTGTTGCTTTTTGGAATGTTTTTTCTAATAAAAAAAAAAAAAAAGAAAATAGAAGATGAGCTCAAGTACTGGATAAATGTTATGAAAGTGCCGTAAGGAGGTAATGAGATTTTGATTTTATTGAATCTTAGGATTTGATTGAATTTCCTGGTATACTCTGTATTTGTACTTTGCGTGTGTATGCTTGTGTGAGTGTGTGTGTTATCAACTATATTTGGTTTATACATGTATGTGTTATTCGATATACTATAATCATTCTCTTTAAAGATTTGGTTAACTGAAAAATATTTGTTTTTATTTGTATTTTATTAATATTTTCTTAGTTTTTATTTGTTTTTGGATTTGGTTTATCTGTAACTCGGTCTAAAACAATCGATGCTATAGAAGTGCCTATTTTAGCAGTAATACCCTCCATAATACTCGTTGCCACATTTGGGATTATTGATGTACGTACTGTCGGGATCAGCGTACTCGCAGCGCTCCCCATGGTATCCATCCGCGCAACTGAAAGTTCAAACACACACAAAAGAAAGAGAAAGAAGATGCATAAGTTAAAAATTGAATTGTATTATTATTGATATTATATGCGATGCAAACACTTTAGATCTTTGCCAAAAAAGAAAGCGAAAAAAAGACAGAATTAAGTATACAGCACATTTAGATGGCCATGAACCTTGTTCCAGCATTTCCCTCACATAACTTAAGTATAAACAGAGGCAACAGGGAAAAAACAGCATCAAAAACGAAGCCAGCAAATTTAATTAACAATCTCTTACTCTTATTTTTTTTTACTCTCTCCTATATATATATATAT